CGTTCAAGAACTTTTCATATATTTTCTTATCTTTAATTAAAGAAAACTATAATTAAATATTTAAATTATAATTTGAAGACGATTTTTTTTATTTTTAAAATAAGCAAATAAATAAAAATTTAATATAATTCAAAAATTTTGTAAGTAATTTATCAGTTCTACAATTGATAAATTTGCAGCATTTCAATGATAAATATAAAATAAATATAATAATAATAATAATATTTAAGTTTCTTAATTTAATTTACAGGAGAAAAAGATTAATTTAAAGTGTTAAAGATAATTTATTTAACATAGAAAATCAGTAAAGTTATAATTAAATCTAAATTTAATAAGTAATATTATTTTATAGAAAAAAAAATTGAAATTAAATATATAATAACGTTTAAAAATTGAGTTCAGGATTTGACAATGAAAGATTTTTATCATGATAAAATAGTTTTTTCCTCTTACTTTTCTCCCTATTACCTTTAATAGAATTTAAGTTATGCCATTTTTAACAATAAAAGTGTTTAAGTGTAGAGAGTAAAATTTCAAAAAAAAAAAAAAAAGAGAAAAGAAGGAAGAAAAAAAGAATTCATCTGGCAAGTTCTTTATAAAAGAGAAGAGTTAAACATGTTTCAATTACCATTTATAAATATCTTCAATCCTTACTTTTATAAATAAGAAAGAAAGGGAAAAGGAAAAAAGAAGAAAAAGGAAAAAAAAAATGTTTAACCTCCGACAAAAATCATTTCAAAAATACAAAACTGAGTAAAGTATTGATCAATACTGCCATCTGTTGACCACCTTTGTTCGCAAGAATTTGCCACTTTTTACTATTCTCGGCAGCGAAGAAGTAAAGTGGAGTGAATCGCCACATTAAATATACATCAACATCCATTTGCCGGAGTTGCGGTGATTTCAGTCCCAGAACGGCAGACCTTTAAAGTTATATATATATATATATATATATAAAGTTTTTCCCCCTCTACCCTTTTTTCTTCTTTTTTACAGTTTTGATTTTTAAAAGTAGTTCTAAAGAATAGAGAGTTGCACCTAATCCCGTATTCTTCGTCGTTCTTCTTCTCTTTTCAGTCTTTTCCGCGTACTGCGCCGTTATGCTGTGAAGCCCTGTCATGATACGGTTACAATGGTACAGATCACGTGTGTGTGTGTGTGGAGAAGTATCGACCGAGCAGAGGGAGCTGGCAGCAGCTCCACTATATAAGAGCAGTACACGTGAAGGAACACAGCCACAGTGTCGGTACATTATGGTCAAAGCGTTACCTACTGTTGTGTTAGTGTGGTCTTGTCATTTCTGAGAAAGCTCATGACTACGGAGAAACCCAGATAGATAATATAATCGCTATCTGAATATAGACATTACGCTGATGTTTGGGACATCAAGTTGGTTTGCTTGGCACGATTTTCGTGTTGCTTATATGGTGACGGCTGTTTTGTTCTTCACTAGATCAGGTAAGTCGCTATTATAGTGGTCTAGACCCACGTTGGAGGATCGCATAGCTAATTCGTGCATAAAATCCCTAACAGCTGGTTACGTGATTACTGGAGGTGATTTCTGCAAAACGTAGAGATTGTGTGAGTTGCAGTGGGCCGTGAAATTTCCCCTTCGCTTCTCCGTCTGGAATGACAGACTCGAAACTGACTAATGAACGAATACATCTACATCTGTTTAAAACGTGAATCTTCCCTCTTTATGCCTGGGGATATATTTGTCCTTAGCTTTAGTCTACATTACTTTGCTTTCACTCCTTGATATCCCTAACGATTGAAGGACTAACAATCCACTTAGACAAATCCCTTCCAGTGATTTACGCTAACGAGTTTCAAATTTGAATTTTTTTCCTCCTCTTTAATTTGATAAGGTTTACGTCTCGGTGTATACATATAATTTACTGTTTTACTATACTTTAGATAAAAATTTAATTTAAAATGTACACGCAATAAATTTAGAAGTTTTACAAGAAAAAAAAACCGTAAAAAATTGAAAACTATGTAAAATAGTTAAAACTCGTTACAACTCAATTTATTTTATTAAAAATTCGTTTTTAAAAATCGTTAATATATTCTATACAACAATGCATTTTTGAACGGTATATATCTACTTCGTTAAATGCTTATATGTGAGAGCGTAAATTGTTTAAATAAACAAAGTTTTGTCGAAAAATCCATAGATAAATTCTTGATTTTTCTTCAAATTTTTGACCATAGAAAGAAGTCGAGATTAAAAATATCCACACTTTAATCGAAGTGACCTTCTGCCATTGGATAGCGAATATCCATATTCCGTCTACCATGTGACTTAAAGCAGTAGAGGAATTGCAATTCTTGCGGCTTCATTGGACGAATTCCAGAATTCAGAATCGAATGTTTAATCTATCATGGTATTTCTCCTTCTATCGACAAAAGTGTGATGTAAACTCGATTGAAAAATGTGCCAACGACAGCTGATTATTTTACATCCCTTTAAAAATGTTCCTAATTTCTTTCTGATATTTCCTGTCAAAATTCCGGTTATTTTACGATATATTTATAGGTTAAAATATAATTTATTCGTATATTTTAATAAAAATATAGTTCTTGCACTGCAATTTAACTTAAATGCAATTCTGGTATAATCCTTTATACTACAAATTAAATTAAGTTCTATACGTTGAAAGCGTTAAAACTAAAAGAATTGAGGGAAAAACAATAGAAATTTAAGGATATTTATGAACAAAAAAAAGAGAAAAAATGTATATAATATAAGTAAATTAATGCAAACGCTTAGGATTTAAATCTATAACGTGTTATAACTTAACGGAACTAAAGCAGATGTCAATTTATAGTAGAATTTAAATATAAAAATAAAGATATATTTTCCTGTTAATAATTAGTATAATAATAATTTTAAGATTGAATAAAGGATTAAAATATGCAGCTATTTAAAATTTAAATGGGTTTGAAATAAGTTAAACTCTATCATTTATTAAACAAAACTTTTTCAAAAGAATTCCGATAGATGCAGTAAATTTTAAAGACGGAAACATCAGGAACAATTTCTCAGAACAAAATTGCCAGTTAAGAGTACAAATTCAGCCTTTCCATCGAGACGAATAGCTAGAAGATAATAATAAGTTTTGAAGCAATGGTCTTCATGGATAATTTATATTCCTTATAAATCTTCATCCGGAAACTTTCTCCTTTCAAAAGTAGAGAATAATAGTCGCAAGTATACAGACGTTAGAATATCCAAAGTTAGAGCAGATAATGACTCCTTGGATATAAATAAGTCATTGCATACTACTCTATAATAGTAGGAAAAATATTAGATAGAGTATCGCATTTCAGAAGTAATCTGTAACATTTCATTTCCAGTTAAACATTATTGTTGCGAGTGATGAAGGATGGCTCGGAAAGAACAGTTTTCAAATTTAAATTATCTACTTAATTCTAGCAATGATCAACGTCAATTTAGAAGAAGAATCATTTATTTACGGTTAATGTTTTCTTTAAAGTCATTCAAACCAATTTCTCAGTCGGAAAACGGGAGGAATGACAAATCTCTTTTGCTAATACAACTGTTGACAGCTTCAATCTCCTTCAGCAGTTATATCTCCCTAGGAGAAGGGACAAAATTGTACGTTGCAAGCTGATGGTTTATAAATTGTATCTTATAATCCGTAACCATGCTTAAATTTCTTATCAAATTAAGAGAAGATGCGCTATCGTAATAATATTCCTTGTAATCTTGGAAAAAAATTATTAAAAATGAAATTTATGTAAGGATGAAGAAGAGATATAAAAATGCGTGTTTAAGAATTTTGCGGCTGGAGTCTACGCATAATACAAAAAGAATTGGATGTGATAGGAAGGAAAAAAATAAGTTAGGAAATATTTCAAAGAAGAAAAAGCAGACAATATATCATTCTTTCGTATGTGTAAAATTGAATTTTTATTAAAGAAAACAGAAAAACGAATGACAGGAAAGTTTTAAAAAATTCCTGTTTTTATAAAAACGGATATATATATGTATATATATTTACGTTTAATCAAAAATATTAATCGTATAATTGAAAACCATTTACTATCAATAATGAAAGAGACGTTTCTCTCTTCCTTATCCTATCTTTTCTTCTCTTTCTTTTTAAAAGTTGAATTATTTAAAGCCAAATTCAATTAAACAATGAAGAAATGAACTGATAACAATATACTTTAATATTTTACTTAAACATTTAAAAATGGAAACTGTAAAAAGAAAAAAAAATTAGAAAAGGATTTTGCACAAGTTGATAGAGATTACGTACAAGTTGGCTTGTTTGGAGTAATGAAGTAGAAAAGCAAACTGTTAGATTGCTTTAGTTGATCTTATTTCTATAAATTCGATTCACGTATCAAAGATTCACAATTTGAATTTTCAGATTTCATTCGCCGTTCTCTTCTTTATACATTTAGTTAATTTAATTGATGTTTATTGTTTCGGCAACAAAGTCGTAATTCTAAAATTGATCAGAGGAATAATAATTTTACTTTTATCTTTTACCTAAATTCGTGATTTTCTATAAATTATCTGCTTAAACATTATCTTCAGCTATTTGTTTTGGCTTTAATTAAAGCAGGCCATTTAAATGCGAGTAAATAAAGTTAACTGTTCTATCTGATCTTTATTTTAAATGAATTGTAGAAACAAATATTTAATTTTGCACTGTAAACCATTAATTCAATTTAATTACTTAAGTCAGTCTAAGTTATAGTAAGGGAAACATAACCTGATTAAGATAACATAACAGTAACGCAATTTGGATTAATGTAATCATGAAAATTCGAAAAGTTACTACAATAATAACTAACGTGTTACTTTAGTAACACAGTTCGACGTTACTATAATAAACTACTTAAACATTTTAAGATAAAGTGCATTAGAAATGGTCGGAACCATTCGACGAATTCGTACAACTCTAACGATTAATTTGATAATAAATGCTGGAATTATTATGATTCGGGATTACATTGATTTAAATGATTAATAGAATTTTCTAAGTTTAATAGTTAGGTATACAGTAATAAGAATTAAATTGAGATCATAGTTTCCTTTATTACAATAAATTAGCGATAAAATAGAGATGATTTCGGATACGTTACTTTGAGTCCAGTCGCATTTGATATATGCATGGAAATATTATAAGATTATCTAAATAGAGATGAAGTAGAGGATAAAGTGCAAAGTGAGAAGTGTGGATAAGTTAATATAAACTGTTCGAATGTAGAAGTTGGAATATTTTCTGGCTGTGTGAAGGGAAATCTCTCGATATTGATATAGAAATGGTATCAAAATATTCTATGACTTATTCATTTTTAAAATTAATTTTATAAATGTTATCGAATTCTACAAATAAAAGCTATGTAAACTGTATAAAGATTAGAGTAAATCAGTATAATATATTTATCATATCGTTTTTTCTTTTCGAATGTAATGGAATGTGTAAAATAATATTTTAAATATGTTTTAATTATAATAATGTACTTACGGATTCAAATATCCTAGGGCTATAAACAGAATTATAGTCTTTATAGCATAATTAAAACAACCTTTAAATTAATATAAAGTGAATATTTATGTATTTACTATATACGAATTATCATTTACTATTCTTGAATAATGTTTATGCTTTTATTCAGAAAATGCTTATAAATCCGTATTCCAGATTCGAGTTTTGTTAAAACTTAAAGCCTGAATCTTGAGATAAAAAAAATTTGATCGGTAAAGACATATTCATTAATATTATTACACAATAATAAACGCATAGTTATAATTACGTGACGAATTAGGACCCATTAGTACTGGGGGCAAAGCGAGTGCTTAGTTAACTTACAAGTAATTCGTGTGATGTCGTTGCTTAAATATACTTTAACAGAATCTTACTAGAAAATCAATCAATAGTCAAGGAAATTTATTAATAAAGTTTTTATTGTTCATTTAAGTCAGTTTTTTAATCATTTTTGCTGGAGATCTTTCTTAGAATTATTGAAAAAGCTCTTAAACTCTTTAGAGTTCGCGACTTACTGGTTGAAAAATACAAATTTATATTTTATATTTTTATGAAAATATCATTTTACTACGTTTCTATGTTTAAATCTGTGATCATAGCAAAACCATCTTGCTGTTACAACAATAATAATAGCAAAACAATCGCATTATAATGACAATATTGACAGACTTGACAAGCGAACAACATTCCGTTATCTTTGTAGCGCAGTACCTAGGAAAGACGTTTCAACCGGGATAATATCGAAAAAGGAAAAAAAAGTGAAGGATATTTGAACAAATCAAATTAACCGTCGCGTTTTATTTTTCAAATCTAACATGCAGTTATTTTTCCTGACAAGCGAAAGTTTTCACATGTCAAGCGCTTCTCCCGAAGGGAAAAGCAGACTTATCAGACTTTGTATGAGATAGACATGCCTAATGGCATTAC